TAGTACAATGTTAAATAAAAACAATAACAACTAAATGTAGGTTTAATAATATACCTCGTTTCTCTAAATAATAATATGCCATTCGGTGATGAGATGTCAAAATTCAATCTTTGTGTTCGATTGTTTACGAATTCGAGAAAGAACTTTAGTATTGTAATGACCAATTTATCGTCGGACCAAGCTTCCAACGCACGACAAAGGATCTGCATATAATTAGGATAAAACCATTCAAAAAAAATTAAGAAATTTTTACGGCCCTGGATGGCTGAAAGGAATCCTCTCAAATCACGAAATATTCCCGAGAGCGTTGCCTTAATTAGTCGAATTGATATATATTAGTTTTCTTTTAAAAGAATTTCTATATAAATAATTTTTTTAAAGCCATATCAAATTAATTTCTTGGTTTCATAATCCAGCCACATCAGTTTTATAAATTTTTGACAGCTCACAGGTAAAGTTTATATAATAAGAGCTTTAAGTAGAAAGCTGGTTAAGTTACTTAAATTTTTTATTCTATTGGAACCAAAAAATTAACAGTATAGCTCAGATATATCTTTGTGCATCAAAACATACTTCAACAGCCGGTTGTCTAAAAGCCTGAAAAGAATTTAAAGCGCCGAGCTGAGCCATTGTGAGGTCCCAAGGTCTGACAAATTCCTCAAAATCTCGCTCAACATTATCATCAGCAAATAAAATTCTTGAAAGCGCCGAGTAATATGCTACACGTGTCCTTAGGTTATTCGGAGAGTCAAGAAATGGAAAATCCTTCACTGTATGTTTTCGAATAATGAATTGTGTAGTTGGAATATTGCGGAGTAATCTGACAGAGCTATATCTAATAGAAAAATTACGAATCAATTAAATCAAGTATTAATTATTTGATCATGATTAACAATCAATGTTATATATTAAATCAAATAACTAATATAGATTCATACCCTCCAGCCAAATCATTGAAGAGAGCCACGGTACGTTGAATTATCTTTGAACAATGAGCCCACATACTAAGGTTTGATCCTCTATACAATGAATAGAAAATGTTAAAACCAATTATCTAAAAAAAAAAAAAAAAGCATAATTAATTTACGTACATTTTTTGCACAATTAGATCCAGAAGCTAAATAAAAACAAGCATTTAAATTAGTTCATTAAAATGACAATAAATACATATTTCAAAAATATAACGAGAAAACGGTAAACCCATATATTTTAACATACCATTGTCTGATCATTAATTCCAAGTTGATCGGATAATTTACTGTATACTTTGGATATTTTCTGAGCACTTTCGCCAATATAGCTTTTCCGAAACTGTTGGAAGAAATATATAAAAGCTAATTCTAATTTTTCATATCCAGTATCGTTGCCGCGCTGTTTATAATATACTAATAAGTTAACTCGACCTAAAAAGGGCGTAAATACAAATACGATAAAATATGAAGTAATACCGGGCCATTCCACGACTTGATTGCAGTTAAAAGGTTCACAACTTTACATGTCAATTCTCCATCAATCAAATCTTGATCTTCCGTACTAACATAAGTCTATATTTGCAATGAATATGATGAGTTTATATGCTACAATGTATGAAATCAACGACCTGAAAAAATAAAATAAAATAAAATAAAAATGCACCTGTCTTCCCCCGATAAGACCTCCAATCATGTACACTAACCAAGCAAACTTTGCTGTATCCAAAGGTAAAAATTAAATAACCAATTAAACCTATAAATATTGCAATTTAATCAATAGTAGACAATAAAATTCATTACTTTCAATAGCATCTAAAATTGTCAAATAGTCATGGACAACACCAGTATTTGCCTGTTGCAACAACACCTACACGCAAACATAAAGGTAAGAATATAAAAAGGTAATAATCTAACAAACTAACATGAATGAAGCATACTTGAAATTGTTGCGCTATAGGATTAAATGAATTGACGATTGCTATATTAGCCTCATCATATTTACATCGTGCAATATTTGCAAACATTTCAAGATCATTAATAAGTGCGTCTTCATTTTCCAAAGGATCTTTTATGAACATAAAAATTAGAATATTTATTACTTGTCTAACCAAATATATTACTTAATATTGAAAACGAACCGTCTATAGCACTCTCTATGGTTGTTTCTACTGATTCAATTTTTGACGAGACAAAAGCATGCGTTAACTGAATTTAACGAGAAATGATACGTGCATAAGTGGCAATCGTAGACAATTGACTTTATCAGATTTAATGAAAGTTACCCTAGACGCGATCAACTCGAGTTTTGTTATAGAACCCGGGCGCGAACTTCCAGTTGACGAAAGCATTTTTGACCAAAAAGTAAGTAAATATTGCACACTGTTTGGAACTAACTAAAATTCGAGAAATCGAAAAAAAAGATTATAACATAAATCATATAGGAAAATCAAATACTAGCTAAAAATAAATGTAT